CCCCGGCACATCAAGTCCTGGATCCGCCCCTGGGTAAGAATGGCACAACTTCCTGTGTTTATTACGCGGCTGCGCAGTGAAGAGTTGTGGAATCGGTACCACTAACGTAAATATTAAACCATTATATCCTTTCGTCATATGTTAACTGACTGAAGCCACGAAAACGTCTCGAAAGTAGGTGTTAAAACTTGTGTACAAATGTAACGGGATACGTTTGGCCATTACCAACGTGCCTCTGGCGCTCGCCATTTTGTCTATTCCGAGCCACACATTCACACTGTTGGATCGGGACCCAAACGCTTTGAACAAAAACACAAAGATGGTCGCTTAAGATAGGAAAATATACATAGGTTTGCCTTGGGCATCACATCTGGGCGGGCAAATCGATTGGACCGTGATCATGACTATACGACAGTAAAGTGGACAGTATGGCAGAGTGTGTATTACATCAGAGGCAATACTAGCGGGTATAGTGTATGTGATTGTTGAATTAACCATACAAAACTATCTTGAAATTGCAATTTCGAATGGTCGCACCCCTTCCGGCGTATAACGAACGATGACGGTCTATTTCCATTTAACATCCGTATAAACACGTCGTGTCTTATTAATTTGACAAGATCGAAAGAATTGTTCATTTCAAAAATAATTTGCTTAAGTCCTTCACTTACGTATACTAATCATCAATGAAGAGTGCATGACCCTGAACTCAACCAGCAGATCTAGAGTAGCCATAGTAAAATATCTTCCACTGACCCCTAGCTGACCGAATAATGGATATACAGGAACTGACCCCAGTTTGGGATCTACGTTTGTTAGGGTTAGTGTCCTCGCGACAGCTACATTTAATATAATGAGGGCGGATACCGCGGAAAAGAATCAGCTACACTTACTGACCCATTTGACAAATAATAGATCTTCTTATTAACTTTATCTAACATTGATACACGTATCAAAATGAAGATATTGTTTGTGTATTTGTAACGTTAAGTGACGTATTTAATTGATAGTTTCTCTAATTAATACATGCTCGGCTACCATTAGACTATTTCCGTCTTTTATTCACCGGGTCAATCGACGTTCACAGGTTATTCCGCCTAATTTGCTTGATTTTAACTTGTTTGTTATGGATGTTCGATATCATTACATACACTGTAATTTCTCACTTATGCACTGATTTCCATGATTGTCCGATTGGATCGGAATAATATAATCCAGTGAAATCAAAATTAATACATTTTTAAATTTTCAGATTGAAATATTTCCTTATTTCATTTATATCTATTATCGTGCGTTATGATGAGAAAAAAAAGAACTTACCTGGAATTTCCACAGACGGACGTTTACCTCCGGGGGAGGAGGGTTCCGACATACGCCCACCAGACGATAAAGCCTCTTCCGAAGACCCCCGGTCTATCCGGCGTGGGGACGACCCATGGGCAGGCACCGTGAAGGGGATTTGCTTCATGCTGCAAGGTAGAAGTATTAGAGAATGGTAACGCCGCAACATGGTCATTGTAAACCTTATCCGAGCTCCTAGAACTCCTTGGTATGGTGCGCCCTGTTTTTCTGTGTCTTTTGTTGTATGAATATAAATCCAAACGAATATTTAAGGCAAGTCTTATACATAAAAAAAACTCAAGAAATATTCTTTATTACTTGAGGTACATTAGCAATCCGCAAATATCCAGAACTCCTTCGCGTACATTGAACATTCACAAATATCCGATACTCTTTTTGATATGTGTACATTGAAAATATGAAGATAGCTGATGCTCCTGTTTGTCTTTTCTTCCATAAAAATATAATGTTTTTAGACAAAAACCCTGAAACTACTACATAGAACCTCGGTAATGTTTAAGACGGTTTTTACAGGCATCGGTGACAGGAAAGCAACACGTGTCAGCCCAGCACGCCATACCACTCAAAATATATACCCAGTAATCATTTCTAAAGATTACACTAGCAAAAACAGATCAATGCAAGTCACATTGTCGTTTTATTTACAAATATCCAAATATGGTCACACGCTTCTTATAAATCCACTCAAAGCGATCGGTCAAATAGTGGTATCGTCCATCCCAGTCTCGTACGTGTGTTTCCGTGTGTCATAGCATGCTCTCTACACCAAGCAATGAGATATATGCAAGTTTAAATAGTTTTCGTAGTTGTGATAACCGCAATATTAGGTCCCAATGTCAAAAGAACCGTGCACTCACAAAAAGGAAATCCAAACAGTTTCAACAAGTCATCGAGAAACCATATTAATGTCACAGTACAACAGAAGAATTAACAAGTCGTTCCTGAATCATATTAATGTCACAATCCAACAGAAAAATAAACAGACAAGAGAAAGCGCCTACAGGAACATGCTGGTCATGTTTAAGTCCGCACTGTTCTGTCATTGATTTCAGTAACCGGTACGCTAGGCGTTCACCTTAATTCTAAGAGCTAAGGGATCACGTAGGATTAGTGGTCGAGTTTTATCCACTTTCATCAGCTGCTATTGTCAGCTCGTTCGCTGTCTTTTAGAACTTTTCAAATCTTTTAAGTCCAATGGTTTCAAAGCGCCACAGAGCCCTTTACACTCCGATGCTATTGTCTGAGCCATCGATTACAATTGGCCGTAAGAAATGTTGGAGATCTACATTTGGGGTCGGGCCATTTAACGACACGTGTCAAACGTTACAAGCACGTGGGCTTAAGCAATATTATTTAAGACGCGCATTTTTATTATAGCCTCGAAGAAAACTATCAGGCGTTTTGAAGAAGTTAAAATAGTAAAATGAAAATAAATCAAATATTTTAATCAACAACGTCACGATTCCACAGGAAATTGAGAGTTTCTGCAGAGGTTCATGCACTAATGAGATACACGCAACAAATGTCGACTGGAGACTATAAACGGTGAAAAAATGCTGGTATTTAAACCCCGGAAAAAACTCGATAATGATCCGGCATGATTCCACTTGAGAATGGAATCGATGGCGGGAGACGTAGTTCTGTTTGTGTGTTGACTCTACGTACTGCGGCTACACGCCCTACTCAATATTGTTGTAATCAAAGTGAAATAAAACTGACCAAGGCGACTATGGCGGCGAGCACGATCAATAATGAGGACGAGGAGAGCTATCGGTGAGGGCGTGGAGTGCTGTCGGTGAGGGCGAGGAGAGCTGTCGGTGAGGGCGAGGAGTGCTGTCGGTGAGGGCGAGGAGAGCTGTCGGTGAGGGCGAAGAGAGTTGTCGGTGAGGGCGAGGAGTGTTGTCGGTGAGGGCGAGGAGTGCTGTCGGTGAGGACGAGGAGTGCTGTCGGTACGATGTTACATCTAAATTTCACACCATTTCGGTAATTTGTTTGTAATATTTCACAAGTTCCTTCTTTTTAAAGGTTCCTCTGCAGACTAAACGTTCTGATACATGTTCATGAACGTCTGCATCGTTGGTATAATAAGACTCTATCAACTTTCCTAAGTTCTATAAAGTAAAGGAATATTTTATCTTAATTAGTGACACGAAAATCCCTTTTTGTATGGTCCAAAAGCACCATTAGACGGCATTTATGATATTCATTTCTAAAGATTAATAGGGAAAAACGAATAAACACAGAATAACTTTACTTAAACACGGGGTTTATATCAAATCTGAAACGTTAGGAAGTAACAATTAACAATCGCAAAAAAAGTTTTCATGGATTTTAATGAATGTTGGCGTTAAGTTTCCGAATACTTTCTTTTGCTGTTGGAAATATGTCAACTTGATCCAAACGTTCAGATCAATAAACTCATTATTTAAACAGCCACGAGAGTAAATCTGTAACATGTCGGCTTTCTGAAGTCTTATTCATGTCTTGATTAGTCCTACTATACGCCAATGCATTTTGGACATTTCATAGCGCTTACTGCGACCCTTCTTTATCAAATACAACACGCTATCTCTGGATTATGAGATGAACTTTCGTTCTACTATCTCTGAATTCCGTTTACCAGCAGAACATTTGTCATGATTTGAGAATAATCTCTGACTTATTATGTAATACTATGCAGATTCACACGCACATAGACAAAGTCCATAGGGATGATGTTATACATTGTACGTATCTAATGTCATTAGCATGTATTGATCACGTGTTTCATACAGTGTGTCCCCTTACACTTTACCACCACTAGTTTAATGTTATAGTCGAGAATATCTGAAGGAATGCTCACACCATGTTTTCGTTTATAGGACAGAAAGTGTGCACAATACTATTTCAAAAAGAGTTTGTTTTCCTCTTTTTGTATATATGTCTAGCTTTGATGTTTATAGGTTACAGTTTAGAATCATTCATATGTAAATGAGTTTTCATTTCGGATCTATTTGATCATTGTAAACATTTTAACCTCAGTGACAGTTTGCAAACTATACCTGTATGACAACGTCACATCGAAATAAGTAATTACGTACATAATGTATCATATGTGCCTCAGTTCTGGCCAAATATTACTCCCTCTGGTAGAGTTTTCCTATCTCTTATATCAACATAAAATAATTTATGAATCCCGTACAGGTATTCCACAAAGGACACGCGTATCTTGCATACGTAGAGGTAGGGGAAATAGAATACAACAAATAGATATAAAAAAAACAATCGTCTTACGTCTAATACAGCTTAAAACATTTAACTATTATTGTTTATTCAAATATTACCATATCTTCACGTCATACATAACGCATCATAACTCATACTAACAAAAATGTGTTCTGGAATTAACTTTAAACTAATTCCATGCAGTTCGGGGAAAGAATGGGCTTTAAGGACATTCCTACAGGGTGTCTACTGTTATGGGAATATTTCTACCAGGTGACTACTGTTATGGGGATATTTCTACCAGGTGGCTACTGTCATGGGGATATTTCTACGAAGTGACTACTGTTATTGGGACATTTCTACCAGGTGGCTACTGTTATGGGGATATTTCTACGAGGTGGCTACTGTTATGGGGATACTTCTACGAGGTGGCTACTGTTATAGGGACATTTCTACGAGGTGACTACTGTTATGGGGACATTCCTACCAGTTGACTACTGTTATGGGAATATTCCTACGAGGTGAATACTGATATAGGGACATTCCTACCAGTTGACTACTGTTATGGGAATATTGCTACGAGGTGACAACTGTTATGGGAATATTTCTTCCAGGTGAGTACTGTTATGGGGATACTTCTACGAGGTGGCTTTTGTTTTGGGGATATTCCTTCGAGGTGACTATTATTATGGCGATATTTCTACGAAGTGACTGCTGTTATGGGGATACTTCTACGAGGCGGCTACTGTTATAGGGACATTTCTACGAGGTAACTACTGCTATGGGGACATTCCTTATGGGGATATTCCTACGAGGTGACTATTATTATGGTGATATTTCTACGAAGTGACTACCGTTATGGGGATATTTCTACGATATGACTACCGTTATGGGGATATTCCTACGAGATGACTACCGTTATGGGAATATTTCTACCAGGTGAGTACTGTTATGGGGATATTTCTACCAGGTGACTACTGTTATGGGGACATTCCTACCAGGTGACTACTGTTATTGGAATATTTCTACCAGGTGACTACTGTTACGGGGATATTCCTACGAGGTGACTACTGTTATGGGAATATTTCTACGAGGTGACTACTGTTATGGGGACATTCCTACCAGGTTACTACTGTTATGGGGACATTCCTACGAGGTGAATACTGATATAGGGACATTCCTACCAGGTGACTACTGTTATTGGAATATTTCTACCAGGTGACTACTGTTATGGGGATATTCCTACGAGGTGACTAATGTTATTGGGACATTCCTACCAGGGGACTACTGTTATGGGAACATTTTTACCAGGAGACTACTGTCATGGGGGCATTCCTACGAGGTGACATCTGTTATGGGAATAAATCTTCCAGGTGACTTCTGTTATGGGAACATTCCTTCGAAGTGACTACTAATATAGGGATATTTGTACGGGATAGCTATTGTATTTAGACATTCCAACGATATTAGAACCAACATCAACACAATAACCAACCCTAGTTACACTTACTGTACGAGCTAACGATCCCAAAAAATGTGTCTGTTTGTTGAACTATATAAATAATGCCGACATTAACTTACTACTGGTATGGGGACATTCCTACTAGGTGGCTACTGTTATGGTGATATGTCTACGTGGTGACTACTGTTATGGCAATATTTCTACCAGGTGACTACTGATATGGGAATATTTCTACGAGGGGACTACTGTTATGGGGATATTCCTACTAGGTGACTACCGTTATGGTGATATGTCTACGAGGCGACTACTGTTATGGGCATATTCCTACAAGGTGACTACTATTATGGGGACATTTCTACGAGCTGGGTGCTGTTTTGGGGATACTTCTACGAGGTGCCTACTGTTATGGGGACATTCCTACCCGGTGACTACTGTTATGG